ATTATAATCACCATCATCTTTCTTCATTTTGTATCTTGAAGTCCCACATTTAGGGCACTTATTCAACTCTTCATAATCATTTCTGAATAATATGCAGTCATTAGGACACGCATGTATCTTCTCATATTCCAAACCCATCGGACACAAAATCTTTTTTGCCTCATACATTCGTTTCGGAAGTGAATTCCCTTTGGGAAGAATATCACTCAGCAATTCAAGCAATTCCGTAAAACTAGCATCGGTCCAACCATTTCTTGCCTTCAAATTCATCAGTTTCAATACGGTTGTCAATCTTGTGTAATCATCTTTGCACCCCGGGTATAAAGGTGTCTCTGCATCACTACACAAAGTTTCAAAGGTGGAAGAAAACTGTGTAGAGGATTCAGACCTTATATCACGAAACATATCCGAAATTCTATCACCAAAGTCTTCATTCACAACCTTCTCATTTGCAGACAGTGTAGTCTTTCTAATTTCTCCATGCCATATCCAATTTGTATACCTCAAATTTATCCCATCACAGATAAGATGCTCTTTTATCTCAGAAATACTCCGTCGACTATTGTTTAAACATTTGACACAAGGACAATAGTACAATCCATCTCCTTTACTAGGGGCATTTCTCTGAGCAAACTCAAGAAATTTTTCAACCCCATCCTCATATTCCTTGCTAATTCTCCTAGCTTTCATCCAACTACGATCCATTGTTCTACAGATTATTTAAACAATACTTTACTATCAATCAAAATTCATAACGAAGAAAAAAACACAAAATAACTAACAGATTATTTATCACTAAATTCTTATATTTATTACAAAAAATTATCAAAAATTCGAAATAAATATCAAAAAATTATAAAAAAAATTAAAAACTTCACAACTAATCAACTCCAAACATTTTAACATATTTCTAATACAGTATGTAAAAAGGAATTAAGGTTTTCTCACATCTAATGCCTACCAATTAACACCAATCAACGGTTCAACCACATAAAAATGCAAAATGAACAATAGAAGCTAACCACAATGTAAAACTAACAACCCATTTCATATATAACAGATTTTCATGGCTAAAACATTCAACAAACCAAGAAAAATTGAAAAGAATGAAAGAAGAGGATACTCACAGAGCAGAGAAGCTTCAAACTAGAAGTGAGGCGGCGGCGGACGGCGGCGGACGGCGGCAACGGACCGGTCTTCGGTTAGATAGTGGAGGGTACGACGGTTTTCAGTGGCGGACGGCGACGGACGGAAATGGGAGGCGCGGTCGACCACGGCGGGGTGCGGCGCACGGCGGCAAGGCTCCAAGGGCTCAATGGAGGAGTTTAAACGGTGGGCTAGAGGCGGGAATGGCCGGTAATGGCAGTTTCACGGTGGTGGGGCAGAGGGGGACCACGGCGCACTGAAGAAATGAGAAAGAAAGTGGAGGAGTCGAGCGGCCGAAGGGGTAAGAAGAACACACTTTCCACGGCGGCTTTCAATAAAACCGCCGTGGAAAGTGTTTTTAACGGCGGTTCTTTAAAGAACCACCGTTAAAAATATTTTCCACGACGGTTCTTTAAAGAACCGCCGTGGAAAGTAATAAACCTTTCAACTTATTTACAAAAATGCCACCGCGTTTTTTTCCACTTCGTTTTTCTGCTGAACCGCCGTTAGTTTGCGACATTAAAGGTCTTTTTTCTAGTAGTGAAAACAGAAAAATGACGGATGAACTTACGAAGGTATTGGCAAGCACCCAAGAAACTTTGAACCTCCGAGACAGATGTCGGTCTTGGCCATTCTGTGATGACTTTGACTTTATCAGGGTCAATTTGTAACTCACCACCACCAACAATGTAACCCAAGTACAGCAAGGTTCTCTTACCGAACTCACACTTCTTTTGGTTCAAATGGAGTTGGTGTTGTTGCAATGTCTCAAACACCTTCCATATGCACACCAAGTGCTCTTCCCATGACCTACTATAGATCAAGATATCATCAAGATAAACAATTACAAAATCATCAATAAAAGGCCATAGAACATCATTCATAAGTCGCATAAAGGTGGTTGGGGCATTGCAAAGTCCAAAAGGCATCACTAGCCATTCAAACAGCCCTTGACGTGTTTTGAATGCCATCTTCCAAGTGTCTTCCTCATGTACACGAATTTGGTGATAACCAGATTTTAAATCCAATTTAGTGAAGATGGTTGCATGATGCAATTGATCTAATAGGTCATCAATGCGAGGAAGAGGGTAGCGGTTCTTCACGGTGATCTTATTGAGTGCACGGTAATCAATGCACATGCGCCATCCTATATCTTTCTTAGGGACAAGAACAACCGTGGACCCACATGGGGAACTACTTGGCTTAATAACGCCATGCTCAAGTAGTTCATTAATCTATCGTTTGATCACTTCATTCTCCAACACTGAATTTCGGTACAAACCAAGGTTGGGTAGTGGCAAATTTGACACAAGATGGATTTGATGCTCCACCGGTCGCCTTGGGGGTAGCTCGCGACTTTCTTCAAACAAGTCAGTATATTCTTCTAATAGGTTCATCAGCCCTTCATTAGGTTCCCTGCAGAGCAATGTTAGTGTAGGAAAGCAAGGAACATTTGTACTTACTGGCTGAACCATTGCCAACACATACTACTGTGAAGTGTTGATGACACGTTTTGCTTAGCTCACTGTGACCAAGTCAATCGTCTGTGAAGGTTTCTCACTGGTGAGGATGAATTTCTTGCCACCCTTAGTTAGTTCATATTCTTGTGTCCTTCGATGGTAATGGGCATCATGATCATAAAGGAAGGGGTTGCCAAAAATTATTTGGCAAATATCAAGTGGTACCACGTCACATTGTACCTCATCAACATAGCTAGACAATATTGCAAAACGTACCATGCACTGTGAGTTAATTTGCTTGTTCACATCATCGGTGATCCACCCTAGCGGGTACGGCCGAGGATGTGTAGTTGTCTTCAAGCCGAGTCTCTGTACAAGCTTTGCTGAAATAAGGTTCTTCTGGCTACTAGGATCAAATATTGCAGATATAATCTCCCTCTTCACCTGAATATTAACGGTGAATAACTCTTCTGCTGGATTTTGAGTCGTAGGTGGACTCGAACCTGTCTCCTTCGGCATTGCCATCAAAGACAAAATCGGGTCCACTTGTTGTACGGACTTTAGCTGCTCTGGTTCATCCCTTGGTGTTGTCGTCATCGCAACATTCTTACGGCGTTCATCCTTCTTCCATTTCTTAGGAAACAACTCCGGATGAAGCTTCCAACACTTCTCCTTATCATGGCCTGTGATTTTACAATGCTCACAGAATTGGTTAGAAGACGAAACAGAGGAGGTAGTGGAGGATTTACTGTTTTTTGAATCTTTTCGATTCTTTGCTTTGGCTTTGTTATCTTCACCACCCTTCTCACCTCGAAGCTTGTTCTTTCTTTCTATTGCCATAGCTGTCGTACTTGCAGCAGAAATATTATGAACCTAAAATAGGCTTAACGCTGCACTAATAGAACGGTGCAGCCTCGCAGTATATTTTTGGAATGTCTGCGAGTCCGTTAGTGAGATGCCGAGAGCCATAGCTTGTCGTCGGAACTCGGTGGTGTAATCTTGAACAGATTGTTCTCGTCCTTGGCATAGTCGGTGCCAACGATCCCACCTTCCTTCAAGGTACCCCATTGGGTAGAACTCTTGCCGAAGCAATTTTTTGAACTTGCTCCATGTAAGGTCCTCGGCTTCACCACTTGCTACATGAGCCTTCCACCATGTCTTCGCATGGTCTATCATCTTAAGAGGTGCAAACATGATCCTCTGGTCATCACCATATCGCCGAATAGTGAAGAAAGTTTCTAGATGATCAATCCAGGAGTCTAACTTGTCGGCATCGATAGACCCGTCGAAGGTTGGTATGTCGATCTTTGCTTCCACCTTGAAAGGCTCCCTATCACTTTCTGCATCATCATTAGCTTTTATGGGTTCTTCATCGCCATCCCCTTCCAAGTTAGCGATGCGTTCAAACTTGTCTTTTAGCTTTGCCACCTTGGTCTTTGGGGTGGCTATCTTCTCGCGTTCATCATGAGAAGGGGCAGCTTGCTGTTTGATCCAATCTAGGACCGTGGCCATGTCCAAGGAGAGCTTAGCGACTTGGTCTGTCAAGGTGGGTTGAGTGGTGTGTTTATCACCTTCCATAGCTACGGACATTTCTGGTGCAATAAGAGTTGAACGATGTACCCCTCGGAAAGTCGAGAGTTGCCACAAATCTTCTCCGCTGGTGCTATAACCGAAGCGGGTCTTCACCATCCACAGTCAGGAACAGTGCTCTGATACCTAACTTGATCCAAAGAGATGAAAAAGAAAGGAAACTGATATGAACTTCCCCAAACCCAGTCACGAAGGCGTCACTGGTTTGTTTTGATTTCTGATTTTCTTTGCATACATGGCTTTCCTTTATATATGAAAAAATAGATAATTGCAAATAAAATAAATAACAGCTTTTAGTTTCGAAACTTGCGGCTAACTCTAAGAAATTTTCCACCAGACTCGCTCCCACCAACGTTCAGCATTCAAATATTAAACCCACGTTGCACAGTGCTATTCACGCATGCGAGTTACTGTTCACGTGCATTCAGTTACTATTCACCTGACTTGGTGTAGTAAAGATCCTCCTGGATCAGGTAAGAAGTTAGAAAAACAGATCATGAATAGTAAATTTGCTGCAAGACTCTAAAAAGGACTGCGTATTGACGGTTAGACGGTTATCCTACTTCATTTTCTCATCTCCCTCGGCCTTTCATATTCAGAATCATGTCTAATGGGTAAAAATCAAAGTAATGATCATGAAGACTATATGCTAAAGGAGATTGACTAAAGAACCATTTGAATAATACTGTATTACTATAGACATGCCAATCCACAAGACAGACTTCTAAACCAGTTAGTTTTTGTTAAAGCATCATGATAGACCTTGAATCACTAGTGACAATTTTCATAGTTATGATCAGTTACCTTCTTCCCAATCATCCTTCCACCGGCCGAATGGTCAAAGTATATGGTGTAGAAGTGACAAATAAAGGCCTGGGGATCCTTCGCAGATACCTCAATAAGATACTGTGCATAAGTAAGACCAGGTGAAGAAGGTTCTGGAATGGTATGACCTTGCTCCCTGAACCATTCCAGATCTTTTGCCAAACTCGCAGATCTTTCCAATCCTGTATATCTGAATTCAGAATCTACAGAAAGAAACTAAGAATTTCAGCATCCAGCAACCAGAACTGATAAGATAAAGATACGAGAAACTTCACGTAAATGAACATCAAGGAACACCGACTTATGAGTCATGCAGGCACCAAAAGCTAGAAATGGCTAATATAAATAACAGAAATAATTCTTCGAAAGCAAGAAAATATAAGGAAGAAACAGAAAAGAACAAAAGTCTCAAATATAAGGCTTTGTTACTCAGAGTTGTTTTTGATAGGCTGAGTGAAACAGTAAGCCGGTTTTCACATGGTTCAGATAGTTCTTTTAACTGTCTAAACTCTCATCATTTTAGAGCAAACCTTGAAATGTGTATGGACTAAGCCTCATAAGTTATAACATTCACTTACAAAACAGGGCAGGAGTGGTATATTGAAATCCCAAATAAAGTTATAACAGAAGGAAGCTTAAAAAAAAGGCGAAAATAATTTCCAGACAGATTTATTGCATAACCTTATTGCTCTGTCATAATGCAAGAGAGAACTAATCATAAATAGGATAAAAACAAACAGTTAGCCAACATACTGCAGAATTAGAGGGGAAAAGATTAACAATATATTAACAATCAGATCATCAATATATGTTAGTAACCATTCAAAATTAACTCATAGATGCAACTCACAAGCCGGAAAAGAAGCATTATCGACGATCTTCTCCAGTGTATCATGGACCAATTTGCTATCCACAAGAAACCTCAAATATCCCTCAGTTGTGGGTTCCCACTTATCCAATGATTGCTCCTCAGTCTGACCGGCACGCTTTTCTTCCTCCTTAGCCTGCTCCTTCGCATGCAATTTCATTGCCACAAACCTCACCTCCTCCATAAACCCCTTCGATTCACCAGCGTGACGCGTCCTGGCACTCTCAGCCGTCGTTGCGAACGCAGTAACAGCCTTCAATGGCATCTTTGAAACCGCAAGAAGAGCCCGAAATTTCACATATAACCTCCTTGGCGAAGATTGGACTTTGCTTTGCGTCGGCAACGGTAGGATTTTGAAGAGTTGCGCAGATAATATAAAGGAGTTTGAATTGAGAAGCTGGGTTTGGAGGGAAGGGAGGAAACTACTCATCATTAAAATAATACTATAGCTTTAGTTTTAAATATACAAGTTTAATTCACTTTACCTTACATACCACTCAATTACTTATTACAAGTCACTTATGGGAAAAAATTGTGATCCTAATCATACATTTAAAAAAATCTTATCAATTGAATCAACTTTTTAGTATATGTGAATGAGTTATTAGTTACATGGTACTCCCTCTGATCTTGATTATAAGTAATCATCTGTAGACTGGTCTTATAATTAGGACCAAAATAATATTTATTCATTTTAGCTAACACTTATACATTATTTTTTTTAAAATTGATTTACGTAGCTTATAATAAAATAATATACTATCTCCAATATATAAGGATTCTAAATATAAGAGTCTAATTTACTTTATCTGCTATATTTATCTATTGTTTAAATAGTTTTTATAATAGTTGCACATGTTAAATGTCATATTAAATAGTAGTTCTAACTAATACACATTATTAGTAAAGGAATTTTAAATCTTAAGAATCCAAGGTAATATAATCTAATTTTATATAAAGGTATTTTAAGTAGATATTTTTTACATTATTACAATTAACTAATTTATATAATTTTTTAATTTACTCTAATTAGTTAAATACTTATATTAAATATCCTAGGTAGCATATAATAGGATTAAAATACTCCTTCAATCATATATATATATATATATATATATAAAAGAGATAATTTCTTTTGTTGGTGCTAGCGAATGTCTAGGATCTTTTATGACACAGTATCCATTTGGGATCTCATATTAAATAGTGGCATAGATAGGATTTCTTACACGTGAGTTTGCGCATGGAATAGAGAATTAAAAAAGTAATATTCTTACAACTGAATATCTCTTTGTATGTACGCTAATTATTATGTATTGATCGCAACTCACGAACAAGGGACGTGTGAACATGCCAACTTGGTCTTAATATTCTGTTTTGTTAATTCATTAGCAAAAATCCACATTACTCATCTAACTTGTAAGGTTTTAGTTCCCTCTTTCTTTTGATACTATTTATAAAGAATTTTGGAATAATTAATTCACAGCTCCTTATAGTTTCTACTAATTTTGAATCAGGTCCTTATATTTTTACCTGTTTTTAATTAGGTCCTTGTATTTATTTTTCTTTTTATCAAGTCCTTATAAGTTCACCTTATTTTTAAGTAAGTCTCTGAATTTTTTATTCTTTATTTTATAAATTCTAATAGTACTATTATATAAACATAAAATAGTATATATTATTTAATATTATTTTATAAACAATAATATTCTAAAGATATTGAATTATTATAATGATTTTAATTTTTTCAGCAAAAAAATTAATTGTTCTAAAAAATTTTCCTGAATTAATTAATTCTATTACTTTTTTATTACATAATTATTAATTTAATTTAATTATTAATATTTTATATTTCAGTATCAATCGATTTAATTAAGTTTATATTTAATTAATAAATAAAAATTAAAACTACATGGACCTGATTAAAAATTTAGTGAAATTATAAGGACTTAATTAAAAGAAAAATAAATACAAGAACCTAATTAAAAAAAGATAAAAGTATAAGGACCTGATAAAAAGAAAAAAACTATAAGGACCTGATTCAAAATTCGTTGAAACTATAAGGACTTGCGGATTAATTAACCCAAGAATTTTTAATATGTTTTACACAGACTAAGAAAAATATTAAATTACATTAAATCTTCATTAAAATATAATAACTTTCTAACTTTACTCATATTTAATATATACACTTTTTTTTAAAAAATTATGTACACTATAATAAATGAAGAATAATAGAATATATTGATACTAAAAATTTAATGAAGTGACTTATAAATAAGATTAATAAAAACCTCATCTCTTTACTTTATAAATAGGACCAGATGAGTTTTCCTTTTAACTCTAATATCATTTGTCTCCAAATGATAAGATGTTATAAATTACTTATTCCCTGAATGTAATGCCCATTTTGTGATATAAATTATACTATAAAATGAATCTTATATTTAAAATTGAAAGAGAATTATTTTAAAAATTAAACTTAATATATCAATATTTGCTAAAATATCAACATCTAAGATTTTTAATGTTGGAATTTTTTATTACCAGCGTTAGAGTTAAAGAATTGTAGATGTACTTCATAACATAAAATTAGGGAAAAAGCACTAAGTTAGCGTATTGCACTTAATTACAATGAGATTTATTTCATATTATATAGGATCACATGATAGGATTTTTTTTTCTTTTGCCATCCGTTTAGGATCTCATACTAAATAGGAGTATAGATAGTATTTCTCACACGTGAGTTTCAACTCGCGCGTTGAATAAAGAATTAAAAAAAAAAAATTCTTGCAACTCAATGTCTCTTAGTATATACGCTTATGGCTTATTATTACGTATCGATCACAACTCACGAACAAGGCACGTGTGAACGTGCCAACTTGGTCTTAATATTCTGATCGAAAAATATTAAATTGCATTAGTTTTTCCTTAAAATGTAATAAGTTTCTAACCTTATTCGTATTTATTCGTATTTAATATATACATTTTTTCAAAAAAAATTCTTATTTACAGTACAATAAATGAAAAACAAAATAATACTACCACAGGTTTTAATTATAAGACCTCATTTGCTACAAATGAGGTTTTATAATTAGGACTGGAGATAGTATATTAATACTACAAATGAGGTCTTATAATTAGGACTGGAGATAGTATATTAATACTAAAAACTTAATGAAATGACTTATTAATATGATTAAGAAAAACTTTTTCTCTTTGCTTTGTAAATATAAGTATAGAACCAAATGAGTATCTCTTTCCTTTTGACTCTAATGTCATTTGTCTCCAAATGATAAGATGTTATGAATTACTCATTCCCTAATTCCCTAAATGTAAGACCCATTGTATAATACGAGTATAAATTATATTATAAAATAAAACTTATATTTAGGACTGAAAGAGAATTATTTTAAAAATTAAACTTAATATATCAATATTTGATAAAATATCAATATTTAAGATTTTAATGCTAGCATTTTTGTTAACAGTGTTAGAAATAGAGAATTGTAGATATATTTTATAAAATTAGGAAAAAAGCACTAAATTAGTGTAATGCACTTAATTACCTACATATCATGGTACAAAAGACCGGGTGGATATTATTTCCAAGTTACTTAAAACTGTACCAATAATTAAATTAAAAGACAGTGATTCAAGGGTAAGTAAACTAATCATAGTATCGAGATCAACTAATCGTGATTGACATAATATAATTTAATAAAATATAAAAATATTCATATATACACACACACTGAGAGTAATATTCAAATAAAAAGTACTAATCTACTAGTTAAAGAAATATTCATGTATAAAATCACACATAATTTAATAAAATACTGTTGCTAAAGCATGAAATGAACAAAATGCTATTTTTTGTTTTAATCCAAAACAAGATTATTTCAAATTTAACGAGATCAAAATATATATATATATAATTCAATTCAGTCAACCCTATTTAAAACTCTTGACCGAACTAGTCAAAAAATCAGTTTATTCAATTATTAGTCTGGCCCGGCTATATGAATTGTGTTTGAAGAAACCTAATGAACGAGATTTCTTGGGAAGTAATATAAGATTATGTTCTAATCTAAATCGAATATAATCGAAAATATCATGGGTCGGTGGGAAGATGAGATGGTGTTAAGTATGCGAACGAATGTTGGCTTATAATAATGGGAATGAACATGTGCCTAAACCATGTGGACATAAATTTTGATAGGAAAATATTTGAAAAAATTTAACATTATAGAATATTATGTCTAGAATATACTATATAAATTAATTTTATCCTATGTTCATATATGATCCTATGTAGTACAAAAGACCGGGTGGATATTATTTCCAAGTTACTAAAAATTGAACCAATAATTAAATAAAAAGGCAATGATTCAAGAGTAATTAGACTAATCGTAGTTGAATTGAGATAAACTAAATCATAATTGACATGGTATAATTTAAAATTAAAATATTCTGACCTCCTTTACATTTTGTTCTAATTATACAGACATCATCTCTATTTTGAAAACATATACTTAAATCTAATTAGTTAAATACTTATATTAAATATCCTTGGTAGCATATAATGTGATCAAAATACTCCTTCAATCATATATATATATATATATATATATTTATAGAAGATAATTTCTTTTGTTGGTGCTACCTAATATCATATGATGGGATCTTTTGGCCAAAAAAAAAATGGTAGGATCTTTTATTACACAGGAGTATAATACCATATTATTTCATACGATGAGATTTATTTCATACTCTTCCAATCCTTAATATATGACCCATTTAACTAATTTGATTAGATTAAGGAAGTTAGATAAGTTAGTTAATTATAAGAAATGTGATATGCTTTTCCTAACACACCCTAATCATCTTTATTAATCCCCCTCTCTCTCTTCTACTTGATTATAGTTGAGGGAGTATCCATAAAAGTAATTTAGAGAAAATTGATAAATACGAAAAATATATCTTATATTTAAGACCAAAACCAACTCAACAATTGGGTCCTATATTAAGAACCTGAGGAGTATTATATAGGATCACATCATAGGATTTTTGTTTTCTTTCGCCATCCATTTAGGATCTCATGTTAAATAGTAGTATAGATAGTAATTCTTAAGCGTGAGTTTCAACTCGCGCGTTGAATAAAGAATTAACAAAACAATATTCTTGCAACTCAATGTCTCTTTGCATATATGCTTATTATTATGTATTGATTACAACTCACGAACAAGGCACGTGTGAACTTGCCCC